AAGACGGCAGCACTCCTGGGTAGGGTGGTGCAAGGGCTGGGCAAATGTCACTGGAGAGGGTCCACACCGCAGCACATGAGACCCACCGAGACCCTCTCCTGCCCTGGCACCGATTTAGGTCCCCAGACAGCAGCGCAAGGTGCTCCGTGCCACACGCTCTCGCAGTGGGGCTGGACAGGGCTTCCAGTTCAGGGTTTGGAGCTAGGAGAGTGGAGCTGGGAGAGAAAGGGAGCATGGAAGGAGGAAGGGAGAAGATAACTGCCCAGTTGCAAAGCCCTGCCTGGGGAGGAAGGCCTTTTTTTTTTTCCTTGCCCGTTGAAGGGTATTTCTGCTCTTGCTGCTGGAGCTGCGGCTGGGGAGGCCTCTCCCAGGAGGCATTTCCAAGCTCCCCATCCGCAAACAGCACAGAACCCCAAATCCAGGCCACATCCCCATCACAGGCTGTATTTTCACCTTAGCAATTGACATTACAGTTTATCACAAGTCAACCACACCACACATCTCCTCACCTGCATGAGAGGATAGCCAAAGCACAGCAGTCCAAGCAAGGAGGTGAAAAGCCCTGGCCTCAAAGCACAGCTTGATCTGGCACCAGAGAGATGCCGAAACCCAGTCAGACCCCTCCAAACACAGGTTCAGGCGTGGGCTGGGTTGATGAGTCACGGGCTTGGTCTCGTGGCTCGCCCAGAGAGGCGAGGGGCTCGCTCAGCAGGCGACGCAGTGCCACGCTCTGCAGACGCTGCTCGGCGCTGCTGGGCATCCCCCCTGCCCGCTGGTAGGGTGCTTGGAGAGTGTCTGCACCGACCTCTGCACAAGCCTGGATGGCTTTGGGAAGGGGTCCTCAGCCAGCAGCGGGTTTCAGGCCGTTGCATCACCCCCCTGAGAGATATCCCGTAGGGACACATGGGATGTTAGCTGAGGCGGGGGCGAGTGCCAGAACTGCCTAACACTTCTTTCTCCTTGTCTGTCTATTTGTGTGTTGCAGCAATATCATCCCACCGACATCACTGGCCAGCTCAACCTCTCCGACCCCTCCGTCAGCACTGTGGTGTGACCTTCTCCCCGAGGGCCATCAGCCCTTGCCCATCACAGCAGGAAGGCACAGCCAGGACTGCCTTTCAAGGGACACTGATGGGTTCTTCTGGGTGAGATGGGAGGAAAGCATCCTTCATCCATACACAGTGACTTCATTGTATATCTCCCTCCCTTCCCAGGCCTGCTGCCATGCTCGTGCCCCAGAGTGCACGGCAGAACCAGGACACGGTTTGGACTTCACTGTACAGAGATAATTGCTTCCAACCAGTGCTGTTGATAATCAGTATTGCCACTGACTGGCTACATGCGAGGGGAAAGGACGTCGAAAGGTGCCTGCTCTCCCACTGTAGCAGGGAAGAGCTGGTGCCAGATGACAAACGTGTGCTTCACTTTGCAGGCTTCAGGCTCCTCAGCACAGCACGGCTGCTCCGACACGTGCTCCACATCTCCACCACCCCAGAGGGCTCCAGCACGATGTGGTCATGGTCTCGAGCGGCTGGAGCGGCCGGCAATGGTTTGGCAGGTTGAGCATGTGTTCCTACTGGGCAGAGTGACCCCCACCTCTATGCAGGGATTGGGAGATGTGCACTGTGCTCCTTGCCAGGGGATGGACCCTCTGTTCTTCCCTCCCGTCAGCCTGTGCTCAAGGCCCATGGCTACAGCTCAGCTCCTGCACGTGGTCTGTTTGCGGCACGAGTGCTCCCAGCCCTGAGGCAGCCCATGCTCCTGTGCTAAATTTGGTGCTCTGGAGATCATAACACGCTGTCAGCCAAGATCCTGGCTCCCCATGCGTCTTCTCCTGCATAGAAGACATCCCCAGGACTTGCCACGGCCAGCATGAGCCACACCGTGGCTCTCCTGGCCAGGAACATCTCCACAGGGAATGGCTCTGGACAGTTGCATCGACTTTTAGCCAAGCTCCACACTGCCTCAGCACCAGCAATGCAAGGAGAGATGCTGCTGGCCGGTCGTGGTTTGCTGTGTGCCACTGCACTGGCAGCTTTCCTGCCACCCTCACCAGCTTGCCAGCAGCTCCCGAGGCAGCCCCAGCTCGAGTGGCTGCATCTGCCTGAACCTGGAGACGTGGAAACCAGTTCCCAGCTCAGGAGAAAGGAAACAAAGGAGACTCACACCTTTCTCCCCACACCTTCCTTCCCTCGAGTATACGTGCCCACGTGCCCTGAGCACCCTCCCTGTGGGCGCTGCGAGTGGGTGTGGAGACACCAGCGTTGGGGAAGCATCTGGCACCATCTGGGCTGGTGATGAGCAGCTACAGCACACGCACGGGCAACACCGCATCCCGCCTCCTGCGAAGGCGAAAAACCCACCTGCGAGGTGGTACCCAGCCCCAGCAGCATGAACTGCCTTCTCCTTGCCCCCAACGAGCAGAGGGGGCTCCCCCCTGAGGGCCGGCAGGATTTTCAGACGGCAGCTGAGGTCTGTGAGCATCATCCCACTGACTGCAGTGGCTCCATCCAGTTCATCTCACTCCAGCTGAGAAATTGGACCCATTCTACTTTATACGTCAATGTAACATTAATACCAAGTTTTTGCAAGAGCTCAGTAAAGTCTAGACTGGATCATGCTGTGGTTTCTTCCAGTGCCATGTACCTCTTTCCATCTCTCCTTTCTGGCAAAGCTGGCAGGGAGCCCCATGTTGAATCAGAGCCTCACCCAGCGCTGCTGCAGGGTTTGCAAACCATAAAGGGTGGAGGGACAGGGAGGAATGGGGAAGCCAGCAGGGAAAAGGCCAGGAGCTGCAGTGAAGTCCGGGAGGGAAGGGGCATCACCATTCTGGGATGCCAGGCTGATGGACGGTGTGGGGGGACAAGCAGCAGCAGGCTGGGGACAGTCTGAAAGTGTCCAAATGCCAGCACCATGCCAGCTGGTTTCCACCCACCTTCATCCTGAGGAAAACCAGCCCCTGCCACTGCTGTGTTCCTGGGAGCCAGTGGGGCACTGCCCTTGGACCGACTGCAGGGATGAAGGCATCTGGGAAGTCCCCACACATCAGCGCATCCGTAGCGAGGTGCCCCAAGGGATTGGCAAAGCAGAGAGGCATCTTCTCTGGGCTGAACTGAAGCAAGGTCCCTCATTCACAGCATGGTCCCCATGTGCTAAGCCCACCAGCCCAGCCTCCATGGGGGGTCTCAGCCTCAGGACAATCCAGGTGGAGGAGCAGGGCTCAGGTGTCCATGCAGGATGGCAAGCAAGGTCCTAGCTCCAAATGGGAAGCCCAGGCCTTCTCGAGGAGGACTGAGTGCTGTCACTAAGGGTCTGGGAGAGCTGGGGTTGCCCTGGGAAAGGCACCATGCAAGGGCTGGTCCTGGCAGAGGTCCTGGGGGCAGGGCTGGTAGCACTGGAGGAGCTGCTGTGGTCCCCAGCTCTTCTCACTGGGGAAAGGCACTGCAGGAGAGCCCAGTGGGAATCGAGCAGTGGCACCACACTGGGCTCGCTTCTCTCTTGAAAATAAAAATGGGAGCAAGCCACAACTGAGGTGACATTTGGTTTAATCTCTGAATAATTTATTTAACCCTTGTCCAGAGCTTGCCAAAGGATGCAGTGAACCCCACCACATCCCTGGCTTCTCCTGAGGCTCTTGCATGGGCAAACAGGGGAGGATGGTGGTCACAGTCTTCTCATTTTCATTTTGCAGTGGGTAAGGACTCATGCCAGAAAGGGCTGTTGCTCCTAGAGAGACACATTTGTCACCCCAGCTTGTGCTTTCCTCTGGAGCACACTCTAGCTCCTCCCAGGCCATGTCCCAGTACATCCACTGAGCATTTCCATGCAATGCTGGGAAGAAGCATTTCTGCAGTGAGAGGCAGGAGGCAGCAGGGCAGGGAGGCACAGAGGCAGCCCAGCCCCTGTCTGTGGGCAATGGGAGGTGATGCAGCAGCAAGGGCTGGAGGCTTTGGGCTGCAAACCCACATGGCCTTTTTTGTCCCCACTCCCATCACTGAGCAATCCTAGAGCTTGGCCTTGGATGAGCTCTAGCCTAGAGGAAAAGCTATTGCGGGAGGAACCGCTGTGCTGCCTCACTCATCATTTGGCAGCCCAAACCACATGCATGGGAGCTCGGGGCTTTGTCTCTTTCTAACCTTTACCCTAAACCTCAGCCTCTCCCTTCATCTTGGTTCTCGGCTGAGCCTTCTCAGCACCAGCAGCCCTGTCTGAAGGGAAAAAAAAACCAAACAAACCTATCAAAAGAAACATTTTGCAACCTGCCCCGTTCTTGCGCAGCACACAGAGGGGTCTGGTGCTTTCTGAAAGTCCCATGGAGGCTCTGGAGAGCCCCCAAAACATGCAGGGATCTCCAGATGCACCAAAAGGCACACGGGGAGCTCTGGGATGCACCAAAAGGCAAACCAATCCCTGTCAGGACACAGAAAGCCAAACAGATGGCATTTTGGTACACAAAAAGCCAAGACAAGGGGTCCTGAGGGCACAGAAAGGCACACTGAGGCTGCAGGGATCACTGACTGCCTGATGGGGTGTGCTGGGGGCACCAAAAGGCTCAGGAAGTGTTTTGGAGCAAACTGAAAGGCACACAGAGGCTCCTGGGCTGCACCGAAAGACAAATGAGGACTCCTGGGGTGCACCAAAAGGCACGTGGAGGGATGTGGTATGTCCTGAGATGCACACAGGGGCTCCCAGGATGCACCAAAAGACACACGGAGGCTCACAGCGGCCCCTGGGGAGCAGGAGGGGCAGGACACTGTGAGCTGGAAAAGGATCACCCGAGGGTGGCCTGGAGGAGCCTCCCAAAACACTGAGAGCAGCTGTGGCCAGACCCTGCCCTGCAGCCGGGGTGAGGGAGCTGGGAATTGCCTGGGGGGGCTCTGGGAGGTGGAAGAAAAGAGATTTCCAAGAACAGAGCATCCTCTCGTTGCTCCACAGGGAAATGTTTGCTACAGAGGGGTGCAGACTGCTGGAGAAGGGCATGGACCACAGCCTGTCCAGGGTTAAAGCCTGGTCTCCCTGTCTCGGCGGGGCCCGCGGGCACGAGGTCTCCTGCAGAAGTAGGGTTCCCTGCGCAGGTTGTGGTAAGCAGCTACGATGGAGCCCATGAAGATGCAGAAGAAGATGCTGGCCGTGAAGGAGAATGGTCCAATGAGCAAGAAGGCGATGTAGTGCTGGGCAGACAGGGAGGTCTCCTGGCATTGCCTGAAGGACTCGTTCCCGAAGGCCATGATCGGATACTTGTTCAGCTGCTCTGGGATTCTGCAGAGGAGTAAACTCTTCTCTGGAAGAGAAAAGCAGTGCTGATGGGCACACTGGGCAGCTGGGACAAGGCAGGTGACAAGGATGGAGGGGACTGCAGGTTGGTATTGGACAAACAGGACTGGGTCAGGAGAACAGGGGCCAGGTTGACCAAGGATGCCCAGGACAGGGTACAAAGAGGGGAAGCAGTGAGGATTCAGGGCTCATCTATGACTTGCACTCTGGGGAGTGGGATAGGATGGGGAGGTGGGCACAGTGCTGGAGGGGACACTGGAAAATAGGTTTGGGGCAGGACGGTAGATGGGTCAAGCAAGGTGGGTTCCCAGAGAACAGGCATGGGGAGCAGTACGATGCCACCTAGGGTCCCAGCCAGCACGAGTGACAGGCGTGCACCCAAGCTGGCAGCAAGCAGGAGTGGGTGGCAGTGGAGGGACAGACCCTGCTGGCAGAGCTGTCTCTCACTGAGGTTCATGGGGGAGGAGATGCAGGATCAGACCCATGCTTGTGAAGGCACTGGAGAAGGGGCATGAAGTCCTGGCTGGGTCAGCAGTGATGCCCACCCTGCCACACAAGCTCATCTTTCCCCCTCAGGTGTCCATTGCCCAGCACACCTTGCCCTCAACGTGGCAGGACTTGTGCCACTGCTGGGAACAGCGCTGGGTGCCCATCACAGGTCCATCACCCACCCCTCTTCTCCAGGCAATCACTGGTGGTGACCAAGGACCAACAGTGGCCACCAGACCCAGGAATGTATCCACCCAAGCAGACACAGGAGCTGCCACAGACGTACCCCCATGGTCAGAGACCACACAAGCCCATGGCCGGTTGGCACTCGGGGTGCTGGGTCCTGCCTCAGCCCCGATGGGGTGACCAGCCAGTGTGGAGCTGGTGGGGGACTCAGGGTCAGGGTCCTCCAGGCACTCACCTTGCACTTTTTCCCTGTTGAAGCTGAGCCAGCGCCAGAGGGGCAGGATGCCACAGCTGCACACCCAGGGGTTGTCCTGCAGGAGGAGGGCCTGGAGCCGGGGCAGGGCGCTCAGCACCCCGGGGTCCAGCTCCCCCAGCCTGTTACCGCTCAGGTCGAGCGTGACCAGGCTGGTGAGGGGCAGGAAGGTTTCGGGGGTCAGCGTGGTTAGGTGGTTGTTGCTGAGGTCCAGCTCCTGCAGCGCCCCGAGCCCCTCCAGTGCCTGGCTGTGGATCTGCCCCAGGCGGTTGTGGGG